TTATATACAATTACTGCTTTCACAGATACCAGTGCTTTACTCAACTATGCTGAATTCGACCGCTTTAACCCCTGTGGTTAGAAACTACATTACCACTAAAGAGAAAGAGATAAAATAAAATTAGATTATCGAAGCACTGATGCACTTGAGCAAAGTCATTTTATTTCGTATCATCTGTGCAATACTCAGAGGTTGAATTATCACGTATCCGTGTTACACCTGTTAGGTGATGTACACACAAAAAAAGCTCATTGTTCCATCAAACACAGCTCTTCATTCCTGAAAGGGTTAGATGCCTGTTGCTCCAGTTTTACTCAGTCATAATCCACCAGCTATCTCCTGTCCCTCACATCCATTTGTGACTTTTTTTCTCTCTATCCTCCCATCTAATTTATTGATGTTTTCTGTGACAAATGACCCGTTTCTCATGCAAACTTTCACTCGAACCCTGGCACTTTCTGTCTCTGAGCGTTTGCTCGCAATAGCCCGCAGATACTGCGCCCACTTGTAATATGTATCAAGATAAATATACCGGAAATTTGGCTTCTTTGAAAACAGCAGGGTTAAAAGTCAAATGGGCTGTTTAATAATTCACATGCCATATTTCTTCCATTTTGTCAAGTTTGCTAAAGAAGATGGAAGCGCCTTGATGGGGCGGCAGTGGAGTTTGTCAATTTCTCAAGCCGACTTTGGTTGCATGGATTGCCTTTAAAGGGCATATCATTCTAATGACTAGTTTAAATTCATCTCTCTTTGATCCGCTAGTAGGGTCAGAAATGGGCTTTTGATTCATTCTCTGTACAGAAGTCGTTAGCTAGGCTATTCGAGAATTGCGTCAACAATTCGGCTTCAAAGGCATATTCGGATAAACATAACAATTAACTATCAAAGCTATTAATGTTCCAGAATAGATTCTGCTTTTGTTACCGTGTGAGGTAAATAAAAAAAAAGCGTAGTTCGTTCTGCTGCTTTTCCATATGGTAAATGAAAAAAAANCGTTTCAAATGCTTCAGAAGAATTTGAGTAGGCACATACAATTTGTGCATTTCCCCTTAATGTTTCAAAGGTGCAATTTCTGATCTAATTTCCTCCGAATGACTTTAATAACTTCAGTGAATGCAGAATCGGGATAACAATAAAACACTTCAGCCTCGAAATGTTTTCATTATCCCCTTGGGTTTGTGTCGGAAACATCCCATTCATTACATACGACTTTTATTATTAATCATCACAAGAAAGGGGGAAAGTTGGGTGTTTCTGTTCTGCATTGGGGTGTGTATTGGGTTTTCAATTGACCTTGCAATGGTAAAATAAGTACTAGAGTAAGTTAAGTGCTTAGATTTAAAAGGACAATTGGCTAATTCAACTTTTATCCTCGAGAACTTCCCTTGGGGCTTCCTGCAAAATTTTTAGCCTCTTTACTACGAACAAGTCGTCTCAATAAATCTCAGCCAGAATAAACATCGTCATCAATCAGCTTGGACTTGTTTCTTTTACACATCAGAAAAACAACAGTGCAATAAGTAGTCAATTTACCAAGAACTTTTCTTTCAATTCTTTAGTAAACGTGACCTGTTAAAACTTTGACACAACGCAAAAACCATGAAGTTAGAACACATGTACAACTGTATAAATTAAGTTCGTTAAACAGGCTTTCGGAGTGTGAGGGTCGAATAGGTTACCTGCGCTGTAGTCTTTTACGGTTCAATAGTAATACGCCCTACGTTTGACACTGCGCCTTTCACGTCAGGGGGACGTCTCAAAGCGCTTCTACTGATTTTACTACAAAATGTTGCGATTCTGCGCCTCTGTAGGTCAACCATCGCAAAGGAGTTTCGTGTTTGACACCAAAGTAACGTAAGAAAAATTGCAACAATTGAATTTGTTCCATTTTATGTTGTTTATTCAAATATTATATTTGACCTGGTTATTTATTAAATGTAACATTTTAGATCCATATTGCCTTATGGTGTTGGCTCCAGACGTAAAACTTAGATTTAATTCAATGTAGTATGGCACGTGTTCTGAAACATACAGGAATAGTACAATTTGTATCTGTTAATGGAATAGTAGCACATGAATAATAATTATAAACCATAGTAAAAGCTGAATATTACTAAATAGGGGAAACGTGTATAATAAATGGTGAGTCCCAATTCATTACTTGTCTGAAAAACTGTTAATGCAGCCAACAATTCCTGAAAATTAACTATTTTAAGCGAGTGGAGAAGAAACTTGTTGAACAACAAGGAATTCTGGAAACAACAAAGGGCGGAGATTGCATTATGGTAAGGTACCACAGCTCGTAAAAACAAGTTGTATTCTTCCAATTACTCACCCCTCCTCACCCCCTTCATGCTGTAATAGTAGTCTGAACAAATAGGCACAGTAGCGTTGAACTTCACATTTAACTCATTTTTATTATTGCAACTTATTTTAGTAACTCAGCAGGTGCTCCAATTAACAACAATAATGGCACCCCTGAACCATTAGTAAACATAACATCTAATGCAGAAGAAGTCGAGCGTTTTGTTACCCAAGAGAATTATCACCTTCGCGTTGACTGAGTAAACTTTTACTTCTCCAGCCACAAACTCAGAAGAACAGTATTACGATTTGCAGATCAAATATTAAAGTGCCCACTCAGAGGACTATTTTCATTCACCCATTTGTGCATTGTCCACCCTTCAGTCAAGCAAGTTGTAATTCAATTTGTATTTGCAATTGACCACCCCCCCCCCACCCCCCACCCCCAGAGAAATATTATAAGAATATAGGAAGAAGTATGAAACCCTATGTTATGAACCAACATCGAGTGTGCACAATGCATTACCAATTTAAAGCACAGCATCACTTAATTTCACTTCTTTTTTCTAAAAAAAATAAATGCTAGGCTTGAATCACACACTCGAACAGCAATAAAATAGCCCATAAGCCATTTTCTGTGGATTCTGCTCCTGACTTGGAGACAGATTAAAAACAAGGATAAAATAAATCTCCTGAGAATGGTATTCTACTTAACAACCCCCAGAATTCCTGTTTGTTGTAAGTTTTTTTTAAAAATCTATAGATGTACAGTATTGCATAATCCTCGCGGTTGTTAAATTATTTGCATTTCCTTTTCCCTTCTCTTTTTCTCCTATCACACCCGCAGGATTACACTTGATGCATAGTCTGCAGTTTGCCGCTTTTCAGGAAATGTAATTTACAGAAATGAATATAATCTGTCCATTTTAAATAAATCATTTTTTTNAAAAGAATAAACAGGGAGGATACGTATTAACTTCACAATTTAAATCATTATTTCTGCCCTGATGAAAATGTACAGTTAGAAAGAACATGGAACAACAGACAATGATATGCTATTCACCACATAAAATGTATCCCTTACTTGTCTCTCCATTATACAAAGAAAGGCTGATTGAAGACATACGACAATTTAAACATCATATTTGATTGTATTGAATGTTCAGTCTTTGAAGTATTCTCCTCTGCAGCTCACTATCACATATAAAAGTGCTTTGCCGTCTCATTTTGACGGGTTTTAGTTCGGAAGCAAATCATCTTAGCAGTTTGACGAAAGTATATGAAAACGAAGCGTCAGTCAAGCTCAAGCTTTTGCCTGTCATACGCTAAAAATAATATCCATATTAATTACAGGATTAACTGAAAGTAATCAGTTTGTCTAACATTGACCACTGACAAGAAACTTAAGAGAAGTAAACTAGGACACTTGAATTGCTTTGCCCAACTGAACATTCTGTGCAATATATATCTATCTATACAGGATAACACATATATGAATTTCACTCCAACACCAGATGATTTGGATTAAGGAGCAATGAGGGTGAATCATATGGATTCCTCTTGCCAAGACTGCCTTTTGATTTTGAAACCATGCCAGTTTGTGGCAAGGTGCTATCCCCTGGCCCATGCCATCAGATGCTTGTGTCTTATCTGAACAGCTATGGGACTCAGTTTACACCTGCGAGGTTCACTAATGTGAAATGCGCTGGAGAGGTATATTTAATGGCAGCCTGAGTTTGAGTGTGAGAGTCTCTTCCGTGACCACCCCACCCGCCACCCCCAACCCCCCCCCCCCCCCCCCCCCCACACCCACCCCCCTCAGCAGCATCCAGGATCACATCCAATTTGTATTTTTTTTATCAGCTACCTTGGAGATGTGCAGCGCTGAGTGACAGAGATGGAGAGGGGCAAAAAGTTGAACGTATTTTTTTTCCTTATCAAACTCCTTTCAAAAAGAAAGTCTGTCTCTTACCAATCTCTCCCCACCCCACCACCCACCCCAGCCCCCCTCCCACCACCACCACCACCCCCACCTCCCCCCAAAAAGTACACATCACGGTTTACTTGATAATGGTAAAGTATGACAAATACACAGGGTGGTACATATTCGGTTTAAACAGATCGAGGCAAGGGGATGCTCAGGAAATGGATAAAATGAAGAGGAATCACGCCAGGTGAGAGGAAAATGTCAGAAAAGAGTGAATGTCAAAATAGATGGGAGGAGGAGGAGGCAGACGAACCACAGGGGTACGGAGGTGAAGTTAGAGCGAGAAAGCAAAGCTATCTCCCATAATCAGTACTCATTAATTTGTTTTGAGGATATCGTATTAGTCATGGAGCGTGCTTCGAGTGTGTGAGCTGATTAGAGCAAGGCAGTATTTAGCGAGGGTTTCTAGATGGGAAAAAAAACTGCATGATGGAGTGGAGAAAAGCTGATTACATCAAGGAATTCTGTTTACCTATCATTTTAGGGAATCAGAAGGCTTTGGGCTGTTCCCCAACCAGCCAGGCCCTGTGATTCCCCTTTGCTATATATATTTTTTTGTCTGTGGGTGCTTCCTGACTCTCAATAGCCTGTCATAACCTGTAATAGAATGCTCCTTGACAGGAGTTAAACTCTATCGACCATCAGATTCATTTCCAACTGACAGACCAGAGAGAGAGAGAGAGAGAGAGAGAGAGAGAAATTCACATATTTTACATGCCCAGGGCTTTATTTTTAAATCAAAATGGGATATAAATAAAGCAGTGACGTATACAACAAAGAAACACTGGCAGAGCATTAGAGGCAGAGGTTCAAGTTGTGTGTATTGATCACTTTTACAACGTTCCTACAAGAAGCTAACGCATTAGCATTAGATTTGTGCTGTTTCCTCTGATGTCCTTTTTCTGTTGGTAGACGAGGCATCTCACTCGTGTATTTTCTTCTTGCAGATATCAAAGGTCTTCTGGTCAAGCCGATGGGAGGTCATTCTAATAATACCCAAGGTCACTTCTGGGAGCCAGTGAGTCTCACGGTCATTTTTCATTTGCTTGCAGCATTAAATGACAGTTGCAAGGGACTGGAAGTTGCAGGCAATGGACATGTGATGTCATCAGCACATGCCACTGGATTATAGGACAAGCAAGGGACAGGTCTGTGGGTTAAAAGGGAAAAAACACACAATCAAAAAGAGATATATGATGGCACCGAACGCATCGTTTGCAGATTGTCTGCGGTTGTGTACAGGTCTAGAAGACAAGAAGGTGTTTATTTTGGTTCGAGTCAAGTCTTTGTTTGGCGTTGCTCCAGAATTTCTAACTCTTGGCTATTGGTACCATGGTTAAAAGTCAACAGAGTTCAGTGGTTAGGTCTCAAGGGAAAAACAAACGCCGGGAGTGTTGCCTGAGCATTTATCTAATAAAGAGTTTCAGCAGACATCCTGCAGAACATCCCTGGGACTCCCTATTCCTTCCTGTCTTGCCCAAGCCGAAAAAGACAATGCGAGACTTCAGGCTTCATTGCCCTCTTCAATGTTTGATTTACATTTCGACTGTAATTAAACTGTTGAAAACAAAAATGCAGACAAATTCCAGCTGAACTTAGATCTGCTTCTCCCCTGCCTTCGTGGCCCTTCATTAGATACTTTCTTCCTAGAGCACGAGGTCAGGGAGTATAAATATAAATTGCATTTTGCATTACTTCTAGATGAGTGAAGCTGTCAAAGCAATAATACTAGCTTTCAGTCCCACTTTCTGCCACTTCTTTCCCATTTTTCGGCCAGCAGGTCATGCACAAATTAAAACTGACAGCCCAGCCGGCATGTCCAACAGACTTATATTGTTATAGTTCTCTGTCGTGGCACAGATCTCAGATCACAGCCTCAGCCTGTCTCCATGTCCCCAGTGCCTGCTGGAGATACTGCCAGCCTTAAGGAAGCGCTGAAGCAAAGAACCCAAACGTGCTTGAGCATGTGGCCATTAACGGTGATATGGAGAGCGAAAAGTTTTGTTGGACTAATAAGCGTAGCCCACTGGACGCCTTGTATTTCTAAACTACCTTAGGATCAATCAACCTACTGTCTAGTCCTACCCTGTCGAAATGGAATATTACTTCAAAAAGTGCCCTTTGAAAAATGTTACTGTAAGAAGATGGCATTGACACCCAGCATGCTTTCCATTTCACAACTTGTTCAATTTCACTTAACTCTTTTTTTAAAAAAAAGATGCCTACATAATCTTATTTTGGTCTGCAAATCTTTCTTCACCCCAGCTTCTTTGAAATGCTGCAATAGTATGATCCTAGAATTGTATTTACCATATATCAATTCCTATCAGGACAGAGTGAATGGGCCAACGAACATAACCTGTCTGCTTAATACAAAAGAAAGTCTCTTAAAGTTACAACTATTGGTATTTACGTGAGTTAACATGAAGGAAGATGCAACTTCCTTGATTTACTGCGTCTGCTCTTGACGTCAACGTTGTCACCCAATGCATTTCCAATTATATTATAAGGACATTAAGAGGGAACCTGGCTGATGGGGAACAATTTGCCTTTCGCTCCATTTCTGACCTGTTACTGACATAGTTGACCGATGTTCTTCCAAGTAACCTTAAGGACAACAGCAATTGAAAATGTAGTTGAATCTATCATTAAAGATTGCCTAAAAAGAATCTTTCACTGGCACGTTTATATATATATATCATTATTATTGTTATATTATAAATATCTTTGACTTTCTGTTTCATTCGTGTATGTATATTGTACTTTAAAAAAGACTCCTCGCACTTCTCAATGCCTCCTGTCATTCTAAATAGACATATACGCCAGATAAGTATATATTCCATACACTTTCTTTTGAAATGATTTATAGCCACCCTTTCCAAAGTTAGGATTTTACTGCAGAAGTATAATTATGGCAATCAGTGGGTAAACGTGCCCGAATATGAAATAATAGGACGTTGGATGACGAATTGATAAATTGTGCTTAGAATTAGCAAGCGTTGGAGGAAAAAGGTTGCCACAACATAACCGTTGAGAGGTGGATAATATCGCCACTATGTTTTAAAAGTATGACAAGTTTGCACACGACATAGTCACGGCGAAACATATAGTGTGAAAAAGTACATGTTTTAATTGAATGAGAGGTGAGTACTTCTAAAATGTCAGTCATCCTCTTGTCATATTTTTGCACACATTATCTTCCAGTTTCACATATCTGTTCAATGCCACAGTGCTCTCTATAACTGATTTTCAGATGTAAACGCTAATTGTTTCGGAGGAAAAGCACTGTTAAATTTGCAGTAATAACTCAGAATACATTAAAACAATTGTTTGTTTCCAAGTATGGTATTTACCTCAGCTTCATTATGGTACATATACGTGTGATCTATCGCTTTGTACTTGTAGTGAAAACAAGAAATATCCAACATTTAAAAGTGTACGTCCCTAATTATAATAAAAAGGTCTTCATCAAAATTATTTTATAAGTCCGTACAGGAATAGAGATAACGTTATAAATGTAACAGTTCTAAGCATAACGAGGTAGTATTACTGGTGATATGAATATCACTTCAACAGTATCAATAATTATGATTAGCTTTGATGCTGCTCTGTCCTGTTATTTCTATTGCAACATTTGTTTGGCTTGGAGTGCTCAACATATCACTGGAGAATACTCATGTATGATTTACTGAGCTTCAGGAGCTGAATTGGAGTTAAGAGTTACATTTCAAAATCAACCGAAAAACCTTGGGTTACGACGATAACGCCCAGCTCCAGTTACGGGGGTGAGTAACTAATGCTTGCAAGGGTTTCCTGTGATGGCATAACCACTCCAACTGTTTCAAGAAAAATGTTAACTCCTTTCATACATTAAAACTCGAAAATGTGTCAAAGGCAATTATAATGCTTTGTAACGGTTTGAAATGAGGCGTCATGGTGAGGTTATCACTTTCAGTAGAGCAGGCTGTTTATTTAGTTGCACTGGTGACGCCTTAAGATGTACTCCAACCTGAAGCTGGACTCGACATAGTACATCAGAGTTGGCTAACGTTTTTGGCAGCACAGAGTGAGGGAGGGAACCAACCGCGCAAACAATCACTCCAATAATGTAAACATGGATCATTAGATGTTTAGGCAAATGTTGTAAGTGACTTCCGCTCATGAAACTCTGGTTTCCTCTCAATATAAGCGTTTAGGCTGCCTCTTCAGGTCTTGGCAAATATAACTCCCGCAATCCAAAAACTTCAGAAGAACTCTACGTAAGATAAACAAATTTGATAAGTGACTGATGGCCTTTTTGTATCCTGCTGTGTGTCCGTAAAAAAACAATGTGTCGTCCAACACCGATAAGTTCCCTCAATGATGCATTCAGGTTTTGTTCGTTTTCACCAAAGCTGATGAATGGGTTTGGCTCAAGTGAATGGTTCATTTAAAATTAATGGTACAAAACAACTTTATACCCAGAAGTACATCATTATAACCTCGACGTTTTGATTACAAGAAACTGTAAACTCTTCTTATTTCCATCGAAGGAAATATATTTCTTTCATGAAACTTGTCATTCACGCAAAGGTGGGTCTGCATTAATTGCATAACGACATTGAAGTTTGTGGCACAGGAAAACCAGAGGAAATGGCTCTGGATAATCAACGGCAAGAGGTGCAGGAGGACCTACTGTTGAAACTCATGGGCGTTTATACAGCTGTGAAGTTGAAGCTTTAGCAAATGCACCAGTATAACATTTCCGGTTTAAAGACATTTAACTATATGGTTACAAAATAATAATGATCCTTGCATTTGGTACAACGCCTTTCACGTCGGGAGGACGTCCCAAAGGGCATCACCTGATTTACTATGGAGTGACAGTGTATTTGTGGGCGAAAGTATCATTGCAGAGGCACTTGCTTCTGGGTTGAATATCGTTCTGAGAAGTTACCTCAAACTCTTTGAAATTAAGAATTGAAGTTTTATTATGATGTCATGTTTTCGAATTAAAATATATTTTTTATTTTATCTATTTTGATATTCAGCGATTTGTTCTCTGCTCATTCTCTTCCTTTAATTTCCAGTGTGTGTGTGTGTGGGGGGGGGGGGGGGGGGGGGGTGGGGGGGGGGAGGGGGGGGGGGGTGGAGGGTCCTAGTAATTTAACTAAACTACGGTAAATATTGTAAAAAAAAATTAGAATTGAACCTTGTTTATGTGTGACAGTAAATGATGCAATAATCCACAGACTACATTGACATCTCACGCAAAAGTCTCGAACTGGTGAATGTTCATTACCCGAAATTTAGGCTGTTGATTTGCATAAATAGTCGCTGGTGCAATTACACCTATCGTCAGTTGAAACTTTCATCAAGAAATTATTGTTCATAACAATAGTGCAAAAGTAGTTAAACTCACGTCTGCCTGTTGCTCATATAATTAGAAACAGTTATTCCGGAATCACCTCTAATTCGATACAGTTGCACATAAGTCTGTGATGATTTTATTATTTGCCCCCCCCCCACCCACCCCCACACCCCCCATTTATATGGCCCTATCGTGCGTGAAGGGCGCAATATAAATGCAACTGGTTTTGTTGTTGTTGTTGTTGATTGTTGTTGCCTTTCACCCCCACCCCTCTCCCCTCATGCAAATTCACTAAATGTCATCACATCATCATGCGGTGTACAAAACAAGGAATGGAAGTCTTTAAGTGAAATTTCTCTTGCAAAAAAAAAAGCACACTGAGCCGAAACCTAAACTATAAACCAAAGCGATGACCTAACCAAAGGTCCAGAGGTAATCAGATTATCTCATGTCAGGGAAAGCATTTGGGGCTGAACCGCTACTGGTGAAGAGTTCTGCTTTCTTTCTTCAGGTGGTCTTTCCTGGAGAGGGAGGAGACAGGCGGACATTCATTGCACCTAACCCAGCCCTGAATGCAAATGAAAAAGAAATTGAGAGCAGATTTGATGGTCTGTCACTAATTCAGAGTGGAATATTAAGTTTCATTGATATATTTGATCACAGGTGTCGTTGCAGTAAATGCATTCGATTTGAAAATGTTTGCATAATCTTGTTTATTTAGCAAATAAAAACCCAGTGCATGATATCTTTACGTGCAAATAGCATTTTGAAACTCACAACTTCACGTTAATTGACGAAGT